TTGTGTATGATTTGAAAACCAGTGATCTGCCCATAAAAGAAAATGAAATTTGTAGACGTAGAACATGATTTTTATTTTTCATCATCTTTAGGGCGACTTGTATTCATCTTATTGAACTCTTTCTCGCTCTCTACATATTTGGATATGTATGTTATTGTTTGCCATGAAATTATATTTCTCTTATGGTTTGAAGGTTTCTTTACATCGCTTCTGAAACTTGACATGTTAATGAGTGTCTCAGGCTGTCTCTTTTTCAAACTTATACACCCGAGCATCTAATTGTCAGCGTAAGGATGCAGATAAATGGTAGGGTTTCATTGGGAAAGCCAGTACTTTTCTTTATTGTTTATTCTTTTTCCTTGGAAAATTTCCTTATTGATTAGTCATAATTGGTCAACTGTCCACTGATAAGCTGTGTTTAAAACAAAGAGTTGCTGCTTTGCACCAGCTAATTTGATGCTTAGCTAGAATTTTGTGTTCTAGTATCATATAATGAAACATCCATGCACTTCTCTGATGGAATGGATGTGAAAGTGTTAGTTTGTTGCTGCTAATCTTTGGCCAATGCTTTTGCGATCGTGAACTAACATTTCAAATGTCAAGAAGTTCTACGAGTAGTGCTAGCAGCCTAAATTCTGAGCACCATTGTGTTAGAGTTAAGAATTCAGCAACAAGGACAAAACAGGAGAACATAGTATAGAAGGAGTATTATACTGAAAATTGTATTCAAGGGACGAAATCAAAAGTTACAATAAAATCCAAAACTCTATACTGTATTGTTCTAGTATCCAAACGGAATTACAGTAGCAAACTCTAAGGATAGAATGATGTTTAATGGTAGAATAAACACCCCCAGGCTCAAACCCGATCAAGAGGATGATCCTCTTGCCCAGCCAGATTTTCTGATAATTTATGCACACCCACTAACGCCGCCCACCAGCTCCTAAATCCCCCAGCTACAACATCTAGCTTGCCACGCGTCACCTCCTCATTTGTCGACCCCGTAACCGTTTGTAACCAACTCCTTCCTCCTTCGATAGACCTGCCATGGTTTGGGCCCCGTGTAAGGCCTGCCAGTACTTGGGCCTGGGTTAGGCAGATGGGTCGTAACACATTGTCGTGTTAAATGTCACATTGGTTAATGAATATGGTTAGGTTTCTTTCCTTCCTTCTTTTTTCCTTTTTAAAGTATACTTAGGGTTCACATATTGTTGAATGTGCATAGGGCAGATAAAGCGAAGAAAATCCGTTTTTAGCACTGTATTTGACTTACTGGTTATGAATATTAATTAACATCTCGATGTCCGTCTGTTAAATTTATGAATAAGAACCTTGAAATTTTTGCTGAATTATCTGCACGATCATTGATGAATGTCATTAGCCAATTCGCGTAAAGACGTGATTGGAGTATAAATCACTTCTGACTGTTTGACAGATTACACGGGAATGGAAACTCAGAGTGTGGGAGACTATGCAAGCGAGACAAACCATGTCCTTTCCACCTATATATGGTTATGCCGGGATGTACTGTGGTATATCTCTGGATTCCTTCCTCAAGTACATGATAGTCCAATCTTTGACCAAGGAGGGTTTGAGAAAACTTGGCCCTCTTGTGGTAACAATGGCTGAAGTTGAAGGGCTTGAGGCACACAAGAGAGCTATAACACTTAGGCTTAAGGATATTGAAGCCAGAAAAGTTAGTGTGAGACGATAAGTTGGCATCTCTTACCATAAAGGTTCGGTTTCGAGCATTGTTTCTTTCCGCTCGAACCTTTTATTGGAACCTTTCATATTGAATGATGATTTGGCCCTTTACAGTACTGGAATTCTGATGCTGAGAGAGGGCACTTGCCTTAAAGTATCAAAATCCGAAGGTCTTTTGCGAGGAAAATCAAATTTTGACAGTGCGGATATGAATAATTTGTTCTTGGTGTTGCTACTGTGAACACCTCCTATCCTTTTAACAGAGTTGAACATTTTATCGAACTCTTTAATTCGAAATATCATGGCATAACAAAGACGCAAGGTGCTTTGTATTTCATCAATTTGGAGCTTTGCATGAGGTTAATACTTTTGTTTGACAATTCATTATGTTCGTTTGTTTCCTCCTGCATTTGTGTATAAATAGAAAGGTATATATACGTTGTAAAATTGACCAACGCTCAGAATTTTCTCTCGCTGTTTCCTTTCTCTGTTTCTTTGTTACCATTTTAACAATTTTTGATAAAGAAGTGCAGATTAGCATATTAAAGCAATTAGTTGCCAAGGATTTTTCTATTAGTCTTATCTTTATTGTCTATAGCTTCTTGCCATGTGTTACCCATTTGCGCAGGTGTTGCATGACGTAAAAGATGGCTTCTTCCGACGTAGCAAATATAGATGACTATTGATTTAATCATTCTCTATCTTATAATTCTCATAATTAAACCATAATCTTGAATTCTAGATCCTCAATTATCTCAATTTCGTATCAATTAGTTTACCAACATCAATTCGCATAGAAGAATCATATGTCACCATAATTCTCATAAATTAATCCTATCAATTAATTCCAATTGCAAATCAAAAGTTAAGTAGACCGGTCCCAACGTACTGGTCAACAGGTGGGTAAATCGATCTTGTACTAATTTTTATGTTTATCTCATTTATTCAATACGTGAAATATGCAAAGAGTCTTAGTTTTAATTCAAATAACCTAATATAAAAGTTATCTAATTAAAATAGTCATATAATAGTATTTCCATATTAAATGAAATCATAAACATTGATTAAACTAATTTATCTATAATTAATTAAAAAATTAATTCAATTAATAAATTACTCATGAATTAATCATCGATCTTATAATTCGATTTTGAACCTATTGCAGAAATAATATAAGTTACTAATGTATAGGAAATATGTTGTGTCATATTAAAAAAAAATATAAGCTAACAAAGGGACCCAATGGGCATATATATCGAGCATCTATATAATCACAACAGTTATTGTTTACCAACAAGTTCATCTCATGATTTCAAACTATAGTACTATTCTATTAAAAGCCTAGCGATATACTCTCAATCTATATAGTATATTTATAAAGCTCCAATTTGACTTTATTATATTGTGTATCATCCTCATAGGATATTCATAATCGACTTATGGTCAAGTTCCGTTTTACTTTCTTGATTATATTTATCTTATATTCTATTATCACTCTATAAGAATAACCATTATTCGTACCAATACAAATAATAAGCCTTTAAAGCATCTCCAATGCAAAGTTATAATTGATATGCAAATTGTAAAATTAGCATTTGAGTGCAAAAAATACTCTCCAATGCAATGTTATTTATTGTGTCAAATTTCTCATATTATATACTTTGTGATAAATTTCTCACCAAGTAAAGCATATGAAAAATTTAGTATTTAATTGCTATTGGTTAAAATATTTACTTTTTCATGTAATCATTGCAACTTTTACATTTTTAATTATTTTAAAAATAAAAGCCCACTTTTACAATTTTCAAAGCTCAATGATTGTGGAAAAATTAGATTTATCATTTCAAAGAGCATTATGCATTGGAGCAAAAATGAAAATGACATACCATATCATACTTCTTAATGCTAAATATACAATTTGTATTGGAAATGTTCTTAGATAAAACAAAATAGTCTAATTGTTGACCACTCTCATTTTCCAATCCCTGGATAGTATCATAAGAGGATATCATTGACTGTTTATAATAGCTATGAATTCTCTATTTATGAATCATATCTTCGACGTACTAGTATGCATACCTTTAACAATGTTAGGATATCACTCTTTGGTACATCAAAAGATACAACACTTACATACGGGTTTATTATTCATGGATAGATTACATATAAATTATCGAAACTGAATTGTTTTATTTAAACGGAGTTATTAATTAATAACAATTCAACTTTGATCCGATCCAATCTATATTCTACTAATTGAACTATATCTATGTCTCTACTCTGACAATCAAGACAAGTCGTCTCCGTTGGAAAGTAAACAACACAATAATCTTAACATAAATAAAGTGTCCAACTTAATTTCATCGACTGCAGATCATATAATTTAAACTATCATGTTTAGATTCATGTCTTCTGCATATTCTTTACATTTTATACACAACCTAGGGCCCGTTTGGTTCATGCATTTAAACCAGTGATTCTTGATTATGGCATTTGAAATAAATTTATTGTGAGAAGAAAACACTGTAGCATAATCAAAATCATGAGTTTAAACGTATGAAACAAATGGGCATCTAAATATTTAGAACAACAGTCTCAGATTTTCAGTTTGTTTATCATACATTCAACTAAAATGAACGTAAAAAGGACAATACTTGATATATAAAATAAATAAATATTTATTTACTACTCAAATTGTCTAAATAAAAATTTTACATTTCTTTTTAAAAGGCATAAACACTAAGACTAACATGCAGATAGACAATAGGTAAAAAGCAAATTATCTAGAAAAACAAGAAGAAGAAATAGCCACGCCTGCTATAAATCGCATTTAAAAGGTGAGTTTAAATCGGATAGTTTGAATTTTATGAGAGAAAATACTATAGTGAATTTTTTTTAAAATTTAACTTTTTATTTCTTACTTTTTCGGTCGTTAGATCTGGTTAAAATCACACTATATTAAAAAAATATGCAGAACACATAAATTTTGATACAGATCTGACGATTGAAAAATAAAGAATACTAGGAAAATTTTCCTTACGTTTTCTGTGAAGCAAAAAATATTGTTTAAAAAAGTATAGCATAACTCTTTAGTCTTTAAAATCATAAATGAACCCGTCGAAAAGTAAAATTTAATGGAGACTAAAAAATAACTTTCCCTAGTGTTTTATCTTTTTTATGAACACTAATATTTATTTTTTTATAGTCATTAAATTTATATTTAAATTTGTCTATTCATTTTAACTTAGTGTGATTTAGACCAAATCGGCTAAAAAAAAAAAAAAAAGAGAGGAGGGAATCGGAGAAACTCCCTAACAAAAATTCCGAAACCCCAGATATAAAACACGCGACCCAAATAACTCCGGAACCTGCAACATTCAGCGGGAACCAAACCAAAGCAAAACAAAATCAAAATGCAGCCCTCGACGGTGGTGGTCCTCGACAATGGCGGTGGCCTAATCAAGGCCGGTCTCGGCGGCGAAATGGACCCCACAGCCATCATCCCCAACTGCCTCTACCGCCCTCTCTCCTCTAAAAAATGGCTCCACCCTTCCACCACCACCGCCGCCGTCTCCGATCCCATCGACCTCACCTCTGCCGCCGTCCGCCGCCCCATCGACCGCGGCTACCTCATCAACCCCGACCTCCAGCGCGACATCTGGGCCCACCTCCTCTCCTCCCTCTTCCACCGCCCCAACACCGGCCCGGCCCACTCCGCCCTCCTCCTTACCGAGCCCCTCTTCGCCCTCCCCTCCATTCAGCGCGCCACCGACGAGCTCGTCTTCGAGGACTTGGGCTTCGCCGCCCTCTACGTCGCCGACTCCCCTTCCCTGGCCCACCTCTACGAGGCCAGCCGCCGGCCCATGGGCCTCGCCTCCAAGGCCCAGTGCAGCCTCGTCGTCGACTGCGGCTTCTCCTTCACCCACGCCGCTCCTGTGTTCCAGAACTTCACGCTCAACTATGCTGCGAAGAGAATCGATTTGGGGGGAAAGGCTTTGACCAATTATCTGAAAGAGTTGGTTTCTTATCGGTCGGTTAATGTGATGGACGAGACTTTCGTGATGGATGATGTCAAGGAGAAGCTGTGTTTTGTCTCGCTTGATGTTTCTCGCGACCTCCAGATCGCCAGGTTTGGGATTTTATGTCATTCTGTGATATGGGATTTTTTGTTTGTTTGTTTTTTTTAATAATTCGAGTGAATTTAGTTGAGTTTTTGGTTGATTTTAACTAAAATGTCAGATGGGCTATATGAAGGAAATCTGGAAAAAGGTGACATCTCGAGGAACTTATTTGCTATCTTTTATTTGTTTTTTTTATGTAATCTGTGGTTTTTTTTCTTGTTTGTTATTTTTCAAGAAATTTAAGTGAATTTAGGCCTCGTTCATTTTACCGATTTGAGTTTTCAATTTCAATTTTGCTATTATTAAAAGCATTCACAAAAAGTCACATCTAACTTTCGAATGAGGCCTTAGTTGATTTTTTTTTTTTTTTTTGATAAATAATGTAGTTGGTTTTTCACTTGTAAATGAAATGGGCTATGAATAAAACCTGGAAAAGGGTGACATCTCGAGGGGAACTCATTTGCTATCTTACCTCTGTTTTCATCTATGCTTTTTTTTCTTGTTATTTTTCAAGTAATTCAAGTGAATTCAGTTTTTTTTTTTTTTTTTGAATTATTTTGAATAAGTAAATTTGTTTGTTGGTTTTTACTTGTAAATGAAATGGGCTATGAAGGAAACCTGTAAAAAAGATGACATCTTGAGGTGAACTTATTTTTTCAAGTGACTTATGCTATCTCTATTTTTTCTTCTTCTTAATGTGATCTGGGGTTTTTCGTTCTTTTCTTTTTTCTTTTAGTTTTTCAAGTACAGTTAATGGGATTTTGTTTCGACTGTAGCTATAATGGGGTTTTAAAGTAGTACCAGGAAAGACAACCTGTTGAGGAACACTTATGTGCTTTTCCTTTTCTCTGTGATCTGTGGTTTTTGTTTTCTTTTCATTTCTTCAAGTAATTCAAATGAATTTTCTTGGTTTTGACTGTGTTAAATGGGCTATTGTGAAGGAAACCTGGGAAAGAAAATCTCTTGAGGTGCACTTATGTGCTTCCTGATGGTGTGACTCATACGAGGGGTTTTGTTAAGGACCCAGATGAAGCGCAGAGATATCTTTCCTTGACAGATGGAGATGGAGATCAGACAGCGAATTTGGGGTCGGATCACCCTCATGTTACGGAGAAGTTGGAGGACAGGAAGAAAACTGATTTGACTAAAAATGTAGCGTCTTTCACACACATTTCCTTCAACAGAGTATCGTGTTCTTGGAAGTGTCTTTACTTATTCCTTTCTGTGTTGTTTTAATTGTTTTGCTTAGGAATTTGACTTGACAAATGAGCGTTTCCTTGTCCCAGAAATGATCTTTCATCCTGCTGATTTGGGTCAGTTGATGAACCCCTACGCCGTAGAAAAACTATTGAAAATTCTTCAAAACTTTCTGATCAGTGAAAATGCTAACCTTGAATATGTTCTTTCTTGCAGGAATGAACCAAGCTGGACTTGCTGAGTGCATTGTTCGAGCTGTCAATTCCTGCCATCCTTATCTTCACCCCCTACTATATGAAAGGTTGCCTCTTTGCGTAATATTTCACAATTATGTTTCTGAATCTTGTACTTAGCTCGTACTGAATTTCCCTTTTTTTTTTCCCTTCTTGAGCAGCATTATTTTAACTGGCGGGAGTACATTATTCCCTCGATTCGCTCGGAGGCTGTATGCTCTGCTCTCTCTCCTTTCCTCTTAATTTTGATTAGCACTACTGAATCGGCCTTTTCTTACTTTTAACCTTGAATTGATCTCTTGTAGAGAGAAGGAGCTTCGTCCTCTTGTTCCTGATGACTATCGAGTGAAGATCACTGCTCAAGAAGAGTAAAGCTTCCTCTTATAGTTCATTTTGTTGTTCTGAAGATTGCTATCTTTCCATATTAGTGAAAAAAAAAAAATGTTTTGTGCAGCCCTATACTTGGTGTCTGGCGAGGTGGATCACTTCTTGCATCAAGCCCAGATTTTGAAGCAATGTGCGTCACCAAGGCTGAGTATGAGGAGCTTGGATCTGCTCGATGTCGGCAGAGATTCTTCCACTGAGTGGTCATGATGGTGAAAACAATGAGATCTAATTGATCTAATTGAACCTTTGTCATCTAATAATTGGTAGGCAGAATGCTAATCTCTGGCCTCTTGGACCATTATACCAATGGACCCTTGAGAGGTAGTTTAATGTCGGTTCTGCAAAACTCAGAAACACAACTGAACTGAGAGAAGTACTCTCTGTGGAAGCGAAAGACTCCAAGGAATAGTTGCAGATCCACACCATTATACTTTGAGCAAGGAAGAGATAGGTAGACAAAATATGTCATTGTTCTACCTTTAGCAGAGCTAGAGCTTTCCTCGTATGAGCTTTGCTTTCAGGTGCGGATATCTGAGATGGGAAATAATGTATGTCGAACCTTTGTTCTCATGATAAAGGGGAGAAAAAGAAGGAAAATTATCGTGTCTTGACAATGTTTTAAGCGTTTGTTCAGAGACACACCTGCTTTATCATAACTTAAGGGCATAGGTGGACAAGGCATGATTCCTTTGTTACTTTTGGTGTTCTTAATCGCACTTCATAGTTGGCAAGAAAAGGAAAAAACCTGTTTTGATTCAGTAAATGAGTGTCATGATATTTACTTATTTAGTCCTTTGACAATTAACGGACATGAATCAATACTGACTTTGTAATTCGTTCCTTTTGCACAAATTTATGTAAAGAATATGTGATAATCATACAACAAATGTCACCAGAACCGACATAAAGACCAATTAGTTTACTACAATCGACACTTCCCAACATCCCAAGTGCATCCTGTGAAGCTACGAAGATGGATCATCATTTCTTTCCAATGGAACTCAATATATGAAGATTTGTTCTGACAAAATTTTCCTATATGAGCTACAAACAGCTTTTCAGTAATGCCTAGGCTCTTTCGCAAGCAGTCGAATTTGATATTTTGCGAGATTGCTCTATATTGTATCTTTCGCCTTCGTCTCACTCTTAGTTGTAGTTGTGGAAGAACATCCTCTTATCAATCCGTTGCCTTCTACCTAGTGCTTTCGCAATTGCAAATAATCACTTCAAATGGCTGTTCGTACTAGCCCGGGTGAATTTGCTGGATTTCATTGCAAAAAACCTCGAACACTAATGCTTAGGATTAAGCACAAACAACCTAACATGACATTAGTCGGAATACGGTTGTGAGTCCATGCACAGATGTACCAATTTTCTTTGATATTCTCCGTAATATTCACCAACTGCAATAACGTCTTCATTTTCTGGATCTAAGCCAGGCAACTTGAGCAGCTTTTCCTTGGTAGAAGAACTAGATTCATCATCCGAGTGTCCCAAATCAGAGATGATTTCAGAATGGATTTCACGGCAAGCAAGGATGAACATGGCGGCTGTGTCGGGTTGTTGGGCTTCACGAAGCGCAGCCAGTGCCTCTTGCAGTGCCCCAGCCGCAACATACAAAATCAGAGCCCTGCATAGAACATTGCTAAGCTCAGAACACGCAGGATGATTCAAGAATCTAGTAAGAAATACAAATTAGTGATACCTCCATAAGTTGTGTTCGTTGTGAAGGACATGGTCAGCCCATCTTAGCAATACCCTATGAGAACATAACGTGAAAGATCTATAATGAGATAAAAATTTCGAAGAAAGAAATAAGAGAAGCACGCATGTAAAGAAAAGAAGCTACCACCAGGTAGAGAACAGAAACAACTAAGAAAGAAAATATGAGGAAAAAACCTTGCATAATCGGATCCCTTCAAATGCGTAGCAGCTAAAGTCGCAGCATCAGTCCAGCACCCAGCATCTTGTAGCTGCATAAGAGATGGATGTTATAGCTAGTCCAGCAAAACTAGTACTTCTATTGTTAGAAAGAGCATAACTCGAGAATTAATAATTTATGTTCTGAAAGCTTGCACTTAATTAATTAAGTAGCCAAATCCCTAAAAAAATCCTGCTGTTCATGTATAAAAGTGCCAGTTGCTAGTAACAGATTATAATATACAATTGATAAGTAATTGAACAAGAAATTTATTTGGACAGCAAAAGGCATATACTTCGATAACGGAAATTCACAAAATACGTAAAGAAAATTGTATTTTTCATCTCAAAGAGCCTAACCTGAGAACAAGCTTCTTGATACCTTCCAACAGCACAGAGAAGATGAGTGCCAGACAATGACCTATCAGTCTGGACCATGTTGGCTGCCACAACCTAAATGGAAATATAGCATTAAGCATAAAAAATTCTCAGAAAAGTAAACCTTCTTAGTATGAAGACGGTATGATCTCAGGAAACATTAGTTCCAATAGACAACTCACCTTCACTGCAAGTTCGAGAAGAGAACTTGACACGGCAGAAGAAAGAGCGACTGCACGTAGAGCATTCACGTAAAAGTATTTGCTCTCAGGATTAGTTGAAAGCAATAAACTAACTGCAGCTTCAAGATTCCCGACCGACACGAGCCTAGATCATCAAGGCACAACACCATTATAAAAAGGTGCAGATCTTATAACAGAAAAGTCGAGCATTGAACTTATTACAATCTTAAATTTTAGTGGGTTCTTGAGGTATTTAAGGGATTGCTAAGTTAAGGTGCTTTGTAAAAGAGACTATCAGTGGCTGTCAGGATCTCTATTTCTAGTCTGATGGGGGCTTGCCAGGGACCCTGATCGTAAGCAGTAAAGAAACCGATCATAAACGTTCCATCCTCAGCGCCATAAGTTTCAGTTTATAAATATGAAACTAGTTCTAGGAAATTGACAATTACATCTACGTAACACCAAATAAACAAGACAGCATCACACGCCAAAAAATCTTTGCATGCACAAATAAGAGCAACAGGAAGCACTTACTCATGCACACGATTCTGAACATCCTCTTCTCCCTCCAATTTCTCATGCCAAGGGATACGCTCATTGGCATTTGCCCACAGCTCTTCTTGTTCAAAAGCCATCAAACTGAAGCCACCTTGATTCTGCTAACCAGAAAGCACAAGTTATTATAGAGGATATGACATTAGTAGGTATCTAACATGTTAAACCTAGAAGCAGTTTGCAAACTCTAACAGTTATGTGATTTACCAATGGATCCTTTTTTCCTGTCCCAGGCACTGATTTCCCTTTTGATGTTATCCTACTCAAGATTGATCTATCATCAAGCTCTGAATCAGCTGCCGATTCCGCAGACTTTTGTGGAGGCCTATTTACTAACTTCCTCATCAAATGGTTGAGAGCACGAGACAGTTGTAGCCAAAAAAGTGCTTCAGAGGATTCACCAAAGACAGCAGCAGCAAAAGCAAACCTCATGGCACAACCTTTGTTCACCAGCTTAGCATATAATTTTGCTCTCTCATCATCAAGTATGCATCCTTGAACAATTCGAAATTCAGAACAGGCAACAGAAAGACATAAATCAAACACTAGAGCTGAGCTCCTTCATAATTGGAAGGATCATAGATATGATCAGACTCACCTTCTTTACGATAGGGTTCTAATATTTTAAGTAGCAACTCTGGCACCACAGGGTCTCCAATAGGTGGTAAATCAATCATGTAATTTCGAAGGTCCCCACTGGATTTAGGAGTTCCAGGAATTAGGTGAGGCCTCTTTTCTAAAGTTGTACTGAAGGTATTAAACCAAGAGGGCCTTACACCTAATTGCAAGATCATTCGTAATGCCTGTATGAGGAGGAAAAAAATATAACATCCAGTGGGTATGGCATGGAAGATTAGTCATCTAAATTTTGAAGGCCATTGGAAAACAGAGCAGCATTAGCAAGGTAAATGTGATTAATCAACGTGGACTTCTGTGTCTAAATACTTCTCTAACGATCAAGACTAAATAGAACTAGTTGGTGATCAAGGAAGAAAATCAGCATTTTCAAGTTGTTTCTATCTGTGTTGAGATGCATATACTATCCTATTTTCTCCATATTGTTCCTTTACATACAGAAAACTACTAGTCTAACACCACTTCAAATTAGCGCTACGTATTACTTACATGGAACAATCACACATATAGGAGCATAATCAATCATCAACAACTCGATCAGATTAACATAATGTGAAGCACATGTCTTTGTACATTGAATTTAAAAAGGAAAATTGGAATTACTGTTACCAGGGCATGTGGTGTAGGAAGTAGTATGGGAGAACATAAAGGCATTGGCCGGAACCGTTCTTTTGTAGGTCTCAACTGGGATGTGTAACCAGGTTTTTTGTCAGTTCTGCACGAAATGAAGGACAAAGTTATAAAGCAACTGCACAAAAGATGACAGTATTGGATCAAGGTTATCAACTGAATTCAAACTTGTACTTCCTGAGTTAGAAAAATGCAATGACCGGGGGGGGGTGGCGGGGGGCCATGGCCCCCCCTAGCTTTTTTTTTTTTTTTTTCTTTTTAATATAGTGGTTTTAATTTTAATATAGTAGGTATGTGTATAAATTAGACTTTGACCCCCCTTAAATTAAAAGTTCTCTACATTTAATAAATAAAAACTGTTACATATATATACATGTCAGTATAATCTTGATAAAAAAAAAATGGCTCCTCACCAATGAATCCTGGCTCCATCACTGGAACAATGTATATGTATCGAGAACTAATCAGTTGGTGAAATTATGAAATTTCAAGAACAATCAGATCCAGACTATTTGTTTCATACCTCAATGTAAATAAGCAAAAATGGTTAATCAAACAATTCACCAAGGATTGGGCTGAAATGAAGTAGCACTTCAACAGACCTCTCTGAATAATTGGAAATCAGCGAGAAAAAGTGGAGACACGCATTGAACTATACACTACAGCTGTTTATCACGCCTAGTTCCCATGAAAGCCTATCATTATTCTAATACAAGCTTTCACTATTTAGATAAAACAATTCACTAACATATTCAAGTTCAAGCAGCTAGCTTTTTCATTTCAAATTATCAGTACTCAAAATGACATCTGGAACTTACACTTTAACCTCTAAAAGACGAAAGCTACTATCAGCTCCAGCGATGCACAGTACCAATGGATCATTTTTATCAGTTCGCGAAGGTACCCAATCAAGTTCCAGCACAAGAGTTCCAGGAAACTGTGGCTCTAAAAGCGAATTGGCCATTGGATCCGGCGAATCCTGCAATTGGAAAACAAGAGAGAGAGCAGTAATTAGAGAGCAAGGGAGAGGGCAAAAAAGAATCACCAGTGGTGCAAAATAAATAAATAACCGTGTAAATAGCTGACTATGTTTTAACAGGAAAACTAAAAAAGATGGATGGTACGTGCATGCCAAATTCCAATTAATGACTGTTTAGGGACCTAGAAAGAGTCATAAATCAATAAGCGATTTCCTGACCATTTAACCAGTGACTAAATCTCAGGGGAAAACAAATATCTAAAAGAAAACAATGCCACATCACAGAGCATACTCTTTGTTGCCTAAAGAAAGAAAGAAAAAGTGGAATGAAGGAAGATAAAGTTGATAATTTGTGTATTAACCACTTACAAGATCGAAAATGGAAAACGTATTGTCATAAAACAGCACAGCAATACGCCCTCTACTCCGGTCACCAGGAACAACAGGGGAGAATTTAATTCGCCGAATCCCTTCTCTGTGAGTGCTAAAGGAGGACGAATGTCCAGTTGTCACATCCCACCAGCGAATGTTTCCCGACCTGTCTCCCATAACCTGAAAGATAATAAAACATCATTTCACAGTGATATGACACAAACTAAAAATTAGGACGTGAAAAAAATAAAATCAAAAATAAATAAATAACAATGGTACAAACCACATGAGGCAAGCGGTACGCCATGGCTGTTATTAGCCCATCTGACGAGACAAATGAAGAAGAGGGCCATTTTGGTCTAGAAATAAGCAAAAGTAAAACTTATGAGAAAACTGACCAGAACAAAACTTGGTTTCTTCCAGTGCATAAACAACAGAGGTAATTTACAGAGACTAAAAGCTCAATTCATATCTACTCGACTTAAAATCCTTAAGCACTGAAAAAAGTACTAACAGAAGTAAGAAAAAGAATTTATCATCCCAGTACCCTTTATTTTAACGTAAGTGTAAGCAATGGAGGATAGAAAAATTCTTTTACTCCTTCATAGTTTTAGAGAAATTGTACAGGGATTATATAGACTTAGTGAGGTCTAATCTAATCCCTAAAACAGAGAAACAAAGTCTGTAAATAAGGAAACAATACAAAGTCAAATATCCTCTCCTAATATCCGGATTCTCTATCTCCTAATATCTGGTCATACAGCCATACAACTATTCCACAACTCATAGTTTCCTAATTTACTAACACTCCCCCTCAAGTTGGTGCATAGATGTTGATCATGCCCAACTTGCTTACACATGAATCAAATGACTGTCTCTGTAACCCTTTAGTGAAGGCGTCTGCAATTTGTTGAGTGGTTGGTAAGAATGATACACAAATGACTCCATCTTCAAGTTTCTCCTTTATGAAGTGTCTGTCAATTTCTACATACTTCATATGATCATGTTGAACTGGGTTATTAGCAATACTTATAGCCGCCTTATTATCGCAGAATAGTTTCATGGGTAGTTGTACAGGTTCATGGAGGTCTTCCAGCACCTTCTTTAGCCAAAGTATCTCACAAATTCCTTGAGCCATTGCCCTGTATTCTGCTTCTGCACTACTTCTGGCTGCCACATTCTGTTTTTTGCTTCTCCATGTTACCAAATTTCCCCATAGAAAAGTGCAATATCGGGAAGTGGATCTTTTGTCAGTCACGGAACCTGCCCAGTCTGCATCAGTATAGACTTCAATTCTTCGTTGATCACTTTTCTGGAAAAATAATCCTTTTCCAGGAGTTCCTTTTAAGTACCTCAGAATTTTGTAAATAGCTTCCAAGTGTTCTTCATAGGGAGCATGCATAAACTGGCTAACCATGCTAACGGCAAAAGAGATATCTGGTCGTGTATGGGATAAATAGATCAGCTTTCCCACTAGGCGTTGATATCGACCTGTATGAACCGGAACTCCTTCCCTGGTCTCTCCAAGTTTTGAGTTAGGCTCCATAGGAGTATCTGAAGGCTTGCATCCACTCATGCCGGTTTCTTCTAAGAGATCTAGAATATACTTTCTTTGAGAAATTACTATGCCCTTTTTTATCTAGCAATTTCCATTCCAAGAAAGTATCTAAGAGAACCTAGATCTTTAATCTCAAATTCGGTTGAAAGATTTTTTCTCAATTTGTCCATTTCCTCAATGTCATCACCAGTGAGAACGATATCGTCCACATACACAATCAAGACAGCAATTCTACTTTATGCAGAAATCTTTATGAACAGAGTGTTATCTAACTGCCCCTTTAAGAACCCTTGAGACTTTACAAATCTTGCAAATTTGTCGAACCAGGCCCTCAGAGATTGTTTAAGTCCATATAAGGACTTCTCCAATCTGCAAATCTTCTTCCTGAAGCTGTCACTAAACCCTGGGGGAGCCTCTATGTATACTTCTTCTAAGTCTCCATCAAGAAAGGCATTCTTGACATCTAGCTGATAAAGAGACCAATCTAGATTAACTGCAACAAAAATTAACACTCTTATTGTATTCAACTTAGCCATCGGTGAAAAAGTTTATGAGTAATCAATGCCATAGGTTTGTGTAAACCCCTTGGCAACCAACCGAGCTTTGTATCTCTCGAGAGATCCATCAGAATTATACTTCACGTAGAGCCGGCAATTTTAGACATGACACGATGAAATGATACGAAAACGACACGAGATAAATGAGTTTGGAGCGCACGATTATTAATTGGGTCGTTAACGGACTGACACGAATAACACGAAAATAAATAAACTGGATTCGTGCCAGCCCGTTTAACATGTTTAACCCGTTTAGTTATATGGGCTAACACGACACGGCACGGCCCGCCCATTTATAACCCATATACAAAAAAAAATTTATAAAAAATTAAAAAAGACATTCAACCTTATGACATTTATAAAAAGACATCTATTAATAGGTTAAAGCAACTAGAAACTAATTTTGGAGCGTAGTTGGGCATTCAACCTCAAAGAAGACATTTTCTTATATTTATTTTATGTTTTATGTACTTCAACATTCAAATGTTTGGTTATGTTTTCAAACTTATTTAGATGTACTTGGTTATGTTTTCAAACTTCTTTGGATATTTGGTAATTGGTCATGTTTTGAAACATATATTGTAGGAATTCAAACTAGCCGTATAGGGCATTAGTTAGTTTCCTGATTTTGTGGATCTATAGTTACTAGAGATATTATTCTATTGTGTATAGCTGTAATTGACTTACCTTTAATATTAGATTTAGCTCCTAGAAATCAGGATCAATCTCAACGGATCCTTGTGTATATATATGTACCCGAATTGTTTCTAATGAGATATCAGAAAATTTCAATTCTGTTCTGCTTCGTGGTATCAGAGATACAGGTTTCTGAACCCTAATTTTCATCTCTCTAGCCGCCGGCCTTAGCCTTTCCATCTCTCTGGCCGCCGGCCCTAGCCCTTCCTCTATTCCCGTATTTTTCACCTCTGTGAAAATCGAGCCCCTACTCTCTCTCTCTCGGAAATCTCGTCCACCATGGCCGACTCTGAGCAGACTTCCAGAGACTCATCCTCATCTACCACTTCATCTCCCAATACTCCTATCAATCCTCAGATCACTCCCGAAAACAGTATTACCCCTATCATCAACCACAAACTCAATGGCCACAACTATCTCCAATGGTCTCACTCCATGATGATGTTTATCAGTGGACAAGGCCGTGATGATTATCTTACAGGTGTGGCTGTCCAACCAGATTCCAGTAATTCTAAATTCAAAAATTGGAGGGCAGAAAACAACCTTGTCATGTCCTGGTTAATTAGTTCAATGACTACTGAAATAGGAGTAAACTTCCTCCTTTTCTCTTCAGCCCAAGAAATATGGGACGCAGCTCGTGATACGTTCTCCAGCAGTGAAAACACTGCAGAACTCTTTCACGTGGAGAGTATCCTACATGACCTGCGACAAGGAGAGAATACAGTCACCATTTTCTTCACCACTCTGACGAGGTATTGGCAACAATTGGACCTATTTGAATCTCATGAATGGAAGTGCCCTGATGACAGAACCTATTTCAAGGGAATAGTAGAGACCAAACGCATCTTCAAATTTCTAATGGGTCTTGATAAGTCTCTTGATGAGGTGCGAGGTCGAATACTCGGAACCAAGCCCTTGCCCAATCTCCGCGAGACCTTTTTCGAGGTAGGTCGAGAGGAAAGCCGCAAATGAGTCATGATGGGACATTTGAGCACACCTACGTCCACTGATGGCTCAGCCCTTGCTACTGCCAGAGACCACCCGTCCATGGTCGAACTAGCAGCCTGTGCTGCTCGCGGAACATCTCAGACCCCTGGTGACAATCGGCCACAGAGGGGACACCCCTGATGCGACCACTGTAAGAAGACCGGCCATGTCAAAGAAACCTGTTGGAAGTTACATGGAAAGCCACCAGACTGGAAGCCAAATAGGGCCACTGGTGACCGTGAAAGTCGGGGAAATACAGTCTCAATAGAAGGAACTAAAACCCAGAACCAAGTCTCCTTCACAAAGGACCAGCTGGAACTTCTTCAGCACCTGATCAGCAAAGCAAATCTGTCAGCCGGCTCGGTGGCAACAGGGACTGGATCTGTGAACAGCAGTGGAAATCAAGCCCTTCATGTTGCCCAGCCACCCGCAACCTCTTGGATAGTAGATTCAGGCGCATCAGATCACATGACAGGTGATAGATCACTTTTCTCAACTTATACTCCATGTCTGGGTTATCAGACAATGCGTATTGCCAATGGCTCACGCTCGAGAGTTGGTGGAATAGGAACCATATATCTCTCGAGCAATATTACTCTACATTCAGTGCTATTTGTACCTGACCTTGATTGTAACCTACTATCTGTCAGCAAACAAAACCGTGATCTTAACTGTGAGACTAAATTTTTTGTCAAATCTTGTGTTTTTCAGGACTTGGGTTCGGAGAAGACGATTGGCAATGCTGAACTTTGCGCAGGCTTATATCTCCTCAAAGTAGACACCTCTTCTGCCCCAGATCAGAGTCATAATAAGAATAGGGTCAAACCTTAGTGTTGGTCCATTCAGAGTCATGAGTCAATAAGTCAGTCCAATAAAAACAGTGCAATAATGTTGTGGCACTACCGTCTAGGTCATCCAAATTTCTTGTATTTGAAACGCCTATTTTCATCATTGTTCATTAATAAAGATGCCAAGTTATTTCAATGTGATGTTTGCCAACTATCAAAGCACACCCGAAGTACATATATCCCACGACCATACACACCAACTCACCCGTTTTCACTTATCCATAAATGGAAAACGTATTGTCATAAAACAGCACAGCAATACGCCCTCTACTCCGGTCACCAGGAACAACAGGGGAGAATTTAATTCGCCGAATCCCTTCTCTGTGAGTGCTAAAGGAGGACGAATGTCCAGTTGTCACATCCCACCAGCGAATGTTTCCCGACCTGTCTCCCATAACCTGAAAGATAATAAAACATCATTTCACAGTGATATGACACAAACTAAAAATTAGGACGTGAAAAAAATAAAATCAAAAATAAATAAATAACAATGGTACAAACCACATGAGGCAAGCGGTACGCCATGGCTGTTATTAGCCCATCTGACGAGACAAATGAAGAAGAGGGCCATTTTGGTCTAGAAATAAGCAAAAGTAAAACTTATGAGAAAACTGACCAGAACAAAACTTGGTTTCTTCCAGTGCATAAACAACAGAGGTAATTTACAGAGACTAAAAGCTCAATTCATATCTACTCGACTTAAAATCCTTAAGCACTGAAAAAAGTACTAACAGAAGTAAGAAAAAGAATTTATCATCCCAGTACCCTTTATTTTAACGTAAGTGTAAGCAATGGAGGATAGAAAAATTCTTTTACTCCTTCATAGTTTTAGAGAAATTGTACAGGGATTATATAGACTTAGTGAGGTCTAATCTAATCCCTAAAACAGAGAAACAAAGTCTGTAAATAAGGAAACAATACAAAGTCAAATATCCTCTCCTAATATCCGGATTCTCTATCTCCTAATATCTGGTCATACAGCCATACAACTATTCCACAACTCATAGTTTCCTAATTTACTAACACTCCCCCTCAAGTTGGTGCATAGATGTTGATCATGCCCAACTTGCTTACACATGAATCAAATGACTGTCTCTGTAACCCTTTAGTGAAGGCGTCTGCAATTTGTTGAGTGGTTGGTAAGAATGATACACAAATGACTCCATCTTCAAGTTTCTCCTTTATGAAGTGTCTGTCAATTTCTACATACTTCATATGATCATGTTGAACTGGGTTATTAGCAATACTTATAGCCGCCTTATTATCGCAGAATAGTTTCATGGGTAGTTGTACAGGTTCATGGAGGTCTTCCAGCACCTTCTTTAGCCAAAGTATCTCACAAATTCCTTGAGCCATTGCCCTGTATTCTGCTTCTGCACTACTTCTGGCTGCCACATTCTGTTTTTTGCTTCTCCATGTTACCAAATTTCCCCATAGAAAAGTGCAATATCGGGAAGTGGATCTTTTGTCAGTCACGGAACCTGCCCAGTCTGCATCAGTATAGACTTCAATTCTTCGTTGATCACTTTTCTGGAAAAATAATCCTTTTCCAGGAGTTCCTTTTAAGTACCTCAGAATTTTGTAAATAGCTTCCAAGTGTTCTTCATAGGGAGCATGCATAAACTGGCTAACCATGCTAACGGCAAAAGAGATATCTGGTCGTGTATGGGATAAATAGATCAGCTTTCCCACTAGGCGTTGATATCGACCTGTATGAACCGGAACTCCTTCCCTGGTCTCTCCAAGTTTTGAGTTAGGCTCCATAGGAGTATCTGAAGGCTTGCATCCACTCATGCCGGTTTCTTCTAAGAGATCTAGAATATACTTTCTTTGAGAAATTACTATGCCCTTTTTTATCTAGCAATTTCCATTCCAAGAAAGTATCTAAGAGAACCTAGATCTTTAATCTCAAATTCGGTTGAAAGATTTTTTCTCAATTTGTCCATTTCCTCAATGTCATCACCAGTGAGAACGATATCGTCCACATACACAATCAAGACAGCAATTCTACTTTATGCAGAAATCTTTATGAACAGAGTGTTATCTAACTGCCCCTTTAAGAACCCTTGAGACTTTACAAATCTTGCAAATTTGTCGAACCAGGCCCTCAGAGATTGTTTAAGTCCATATAAGGACTTCTCCAATCTGCAAATCTTCTTCCTGAAGCTGTCACTAAACCCTGGGGGAGCCTCTATGTATACTTCTTCTAAGTCTCCATCAAGAAAGGCATTCTTGACATCTAGCTGATAAAGAGACCAATCTAGATTAACTGCAACAAAAATTAACACTCTTATTGTATTCAACTTAGCCATCGGTGAAAAAGTTTATGAGTAATCAATGCCATAGGTTTGTGTAAACCCCTTGGCAACCAACCGAGCTTTGTATCTCTCGAGAGATCCATCAGAATTATACTTCACGTAGAGCCGGCAATTTTAGACATGACACGATGAAATGATACGAAAACGACACGAGATAAATGAGTTTGGAGCGCACGATTATTAATTGGGTCGTTAACGGACTGACACTCAAGGTATTTGTGAAGGAATCTGGTTAAAACGGCTGCTAGATGAACTTAAAGTTGGCATTTCAGGTCCTATAGATATGATGTGCGACAACCAATTAGCTATAGCTATTGCCAAAAACCCTATCCATCATGATAGAACGAAGCATGTTGAGATCGACAGACACTTCATCAGCGAGAAGATAGAGAGCAATGTTGTATCACTAAAACAAAGACATCTATTAATAGGTTAAAGCAACTAGAAACTAATTTTGGAGCGTAGTTGGGCATTCAACCTCAAAGAAGACATTTTCTTATATTTATTTTATGTTTTATGTACTTCAACATTCAAATGTTTGGTTATGTTTTCAAACTTATTTAGATGTACTTGGTTATGTTTTCAAACTTCTTTGGATATTTGGTAATTGGTCATGTTTTGAAACATATATTGTAGGAATTCAAACTAGCCGTATAGGGCATTAGTTAGTTTCCTGATTTTGTGGATCTATAGTTACTAGAGATATTATTCTATTGTGTATAGCTGTAATTGACTTACCTTTAATATTAGATTTAGCTCCTAGAAATCAGGATCAATCTCAACGGATCCTTGTGTATATATATGTACCCGAATTGTTTCTAATGAGATATCAGAAAATTTCAATTCTGTTCTGCTTCGTGGTATCAGAGATACAGGTTTCTGAACCCTAATTTTCATCTCTCTAGCCGCCGGCCTTAGCCTTTCCATCTCTCTGGCCGCCGGCCCTAGCCCTTCCTCTATTCCCGTATTTTTCACCTCTGTGAAAATCGAGCCCCTACTCTCTCTCTCTCGGAAATCTCGTCCACCATGGCCGACTCTGAGCAGACTTCCAGAGACTCATCCTCATCTACCACTTCATCTCCCAATACTCCTATCAATCCTCAGATCACTCCCGAAAACAGTATTACCCCTATCATCAACCACAAACTCAATGGCCACAACTATCTCCAATGGTCTCACTCCATGATGATGTTTATCAGTGGACAAGGCCGTGATGATTATCTTACAGGTGTGGCTGTCCAACCAGATTCCAGTAATTCTAAATTCAAAAATTGGAGGGCAGAAAACAACCTTGTCATGTCCTGGTTAATTAGTTCAATGACTACTGAAATAGGAGTAAACTTCCTCCTTTTCTCTTCAGCCCAAGAAATATGGGACGCAGCTCGTGATACGTTCTCTAGCAGTGAGAACACTGCAGAACTCTTCCATGTGGAGAGTATCCTACATGACCTACGGCAAGGAGAAAATACAGTCACCACCTTCTTCACCACTCTGACGAGGTATTGGCAACAATTGGACCTCTTTGAATCTCATGAATGGAAGTGCCCTGATGACATAACCTATTTCAATAGAATAGTAGAGACCAAACGCATCTTCAAATTTCTGATGGGTCTTGATAAGTCTCTTGATGAGGTGCGAGGTCGAATACTCGGAACCAAGCCCTTGCCCAGTCTCCGCGAGGCCTTTTTCGAGGTACGTCGAGAGGAAAGCCGCAAACGAGTCATGATGGGACATTCAAACACACCTACATCCACTGATGGCTCAGCCCTTGCTGCTGCCAGAGACCACCCGTCCATGGTCGAACCAACAGCCTGTGCTGCTCGCGGAACATCTCAGACTCCTGGTGACAATCGGCCACGGAGGGGACGCCCCTGGTGCGACCACTGTAAGAAGACCGGCCATGTCAGCGAAACCTGCTGGAAGTTACATGGAAAGCCACCAGACTGGAAGCCAAATAAGGCTACTGGTGACCGTGAGAATCGAGGAAATACAGTCTCAATAGAAGGAACTAAAACCCAGAACCAAGTCTCCTTCACAAAGGACCAGCTGGAACTTCTTCAGCACCTGATCAGCAAAGCAAATCTGTCAGCCGGCTCAGTGGCAACAGGGACAGGGAGTAGATCTGTGAACAGCAGTGGAAATCAGGCCCTTCATGTTGCCCAGTCACCCTCAACCTCTTGGATAGTAGATTCAGGCGCATCAGATCACATGACAGGTGATAGATTACTTTTCTCAACTTATACTCCATGTCCGGGTTATCAGACAGTGCGTATTGCCAATGGCTCACGCTCGAGAGATGGTGGAATAGGAACCATATATCTCTCGAGCAATATCACTCTACATTCAGTGTTATTTGTACCTGACCTTGATTGTAACCTACTCTCTGTCAGCAAACTAAACCGTGATCTTAACTGTGAGACTAAATTTTTTGCCAAATCTTGTGTTTTTAAGGACTTGGGTTTAGAAAAGACGATTGGCAATGCTGAACTTTGCGCAGGCTTATATCTCCTCAAAGTAGACACCTCTTCTGGCCCAGATCAAAGTCATAATAAGAATAGTGTCAAACCTCAGTGTTGGTCCATTCAGAGTCATGAGTCAATAAGTCAGTCTAATAAAAACAGTGCAATAATGTTGTGGCACTACCGTCTAGGTCATCCAAATTTCTTGTATTTGAAACGCCTATTTCCATCATTGTTCATTAATAAAGATGCAAAGTTATTTCAATGTGATGTTTGCCAATTATCAAAGCACACCCGAAGTACATATATCCCACGACCATACACACCAACTCACCCGTTTTCACTTATCCATGGTGATATCTGGGGACCAACCAGAATTCTCAATATTTCTGGAGCTCGGTGGTTCCTATTGCTAGTTGATGATCATACCTGGTTAAGCTGGACTTTCCTCATGAAAGATAAATCTGAAACCAGTCAAATCTTCAAACATTTTCATGTCATGATTCGCACTCAATTTCAGGCCACCATTCAAGTCCTCAAAACTGACAATGCCTGTGACTTTTTCAACTCCGTCCTTAGTCCTTATCTCCAATCATATGGCATTGTTCATCAAAGCTCATGTGTGGACACACCCCAACAGAATGGTGTGGGCAGAACGCAAAAATCGTCATGTGCTTGAAGTTGCTCGCTCATTACTCTTCCAGTCTAATGTACCTAAGAAATTCTGGGGTGAGGCTGTTCTTACAGCCACCTATCTCATCAATCGGATGCCCTCACGTATTCTCTATTTCAAATCTCCA